ATTATATTTAAAAAAATTTTAATAATAAAACGATGAATCTCATTTTTTACAAAATACGTGCTGTTAAAAATCAGGTTTGTTCTGAATTGTCACGTACGTAAAAAAAATACGATGTAGGTATTTCGATAATAGCATTTTTGTTGAACTCTACTATGTTAATAAAATATTTAAAAAATGCCTAAATAAGTTTAATCATTCAATAAGTTTTTGGATAAATTAAAAAAACTGATTGGATCGGTAAGAGAAGTTTCTAACATTAGCTTCTTTGTCCAATAAAAATCATTATCAAAATTTGTTGTGTTATTTAAATTAATTCAAAAATCTAAAAATCTAATTTTCAGAGTGTAACATAAATACATTTATAACTGATAATTTTGAAGTTCTAATGATAGTCATAAAAATAAACAGTATAAATTCTGAAAGATTCATGCGAGACTTGTTTTAATTCCACATTGACCCAAAACTGCGCGCAGTAATGAAAGTCTTAATTTACAAACGAATGGATAATCATAAAAATCTGAAATAATAAAACCTAATTTTGAAACGTTAGGTGAAACCTCAAATTTCGATTTCGAAGACAACAGCGGCATGCACTCTATATTTCATTGAATTAACTCAAAACTGTGGTAAACAGATGTATAGCTAGTGAAGTATAATTGGAGAGCTTCATTAAAAAAATTAGAATCTTCATGCAGATAGAAGTACTCGTTCAATCGTACACTTCAAAGCCTGAGCCAACATACGTGCACATCGCACCGCAAGCTCGAAACATAATCGCCAATGTGGTAAGTATAATGATAATATATACAATATATAAGTATAAAATATACCATAAACACTACAGGCTCGTGATCGTTTGCTCTGATTAACGATTATTGTCACCGCAAGGTTGCACACGTTCTTTTGAGAGAAAAGAAAAAGCTGACAATCGCGTGTTTGTAAGTAATATGTTAGCTATGGAGCTGAAGAGGTACAAGAGGGGTATGGGGCAAGCTTTATTACTTACGATACAATTTTGTCTCTAAAAGCTTAATTTATCATCTGTTATACAAAGAAAGTAACTGTTGCTACTTATACTTATGAATGGACAGTAATTGAAGAATTTTAAATAATTTTTATTTGTATACTTTATTCATATTCAATGTAAAATTATTTGGTCTGTTGATAATTTCACTTAAATAGAACGTTGCAATTAAATGTTGTA